CTGTGGGGTCAGTGGTTACCACTTCTCACGAAATCGGGCGATGTGTTGGGAAAGGGGATTCGTAGGTAGTTGTGACCTCGTATTAGAGGCTTGCCAATGATGATTGAGTGTTGCACTTACTGTTTCTGGGTTTGCGTTTTTTGAGTACCAAGTGTATCGGTGGAGGTTTGAACCAAGGACCTTTGTTTTTACTAAGTCAGGACGTATGAAGTTGACGGTATGTAGAACCGTGGAACCGCCGGATTACATATTAAGTGTATCGGTGGAAGTTTGAACCTAGGACCTTGTGTTGGCTTGGAACCTTGTTTTTGTTTTTTGGTTTTGTTATTTTTTCTTATAGAGGTTCGAACCTTAGATTTTTTATTCTGGCTTGATGGGTATGACTAGAGTATGCAACGGGGTTGCGAACTCAAATCATGGATAAATATTGGAACATGGGCAAGAAGGGAAATGGAGAAATGAGCTAACAAGGGGGATAGCACCTAGGCTGTCTATGGCGCCTATTCTCATCCTCACGTCTAGATTTGGCAATAGCATAACGCAGGGTACCATAGGATACTTCGGCAAAGATTCTCAAGACGCGCAACCAAAAAATAACCATGTCAAGAACCCATAAAAGCAGATTAAGCCATTCCATTGTGCAAGACAATGAGGTTACAGAAACAAAGAGAAAGGAGAAGAAAGGAAGGAAGAAGGAAGAGAAGGAGAGAGGAGGGGAAAGTAGAGGAAGGTGAGGGGAAGGATCGACAAACGAGGAAGGGAAAGACGAATAGAGAGGAAGAAGAAAAAAGAAAGAAGAGGGAATCAAGCAAGCGCAAAGGGAGTGAGAAAGGGAGAGGTAGGAGACATAGAATGAACGCAGTGAGTAATCTTGAAGCTCGAGCGAGTAAACTTAACAATCATCGTGAAAAACACTCAGAGGCTGTCCTCAAGCCATTTGGGCACTACGGGCACGAGAGCGTCAATAGCTGCCCCGTTGACTGAAGAACGAGCATGTGTCGGTGGAGCCCGACATGTTTCGATTGGCACCGACTTCGACCAATCATCATCAGGGGCAAGTTCGCGATAGGCCAATATGGGAGAATGCTTCGATACGAGAGTCTTAAATAGTGATCCACACAGTGTAGAGCACATAGCACACGTACTCAAGGAGTCAGTCTTGTCAGCGGAATACTTATCTCGCGGTCGAGTGCTGGTGCAGATGAAACAGAGTCACCAAGGTATAACTTCGGTAGCCGCAGTCGTTACACATACTTCAGCGCTTCGGAGGATAATTGCCCACGTCATGACCACATACATACATGCTGCTATGGATGTAACGGCGCAATTGAAGCCCAAGAGTTGGTTGGAGCACTTCAGGCGGCAGGGGCGACACGGGAGAGAACTTATGCAGAGGTGGGGGTGCATAAAAGGAGTGGGAGAGGGTGTGATCTAGGTCGAGCCCGCTTTCATTTTCCTGGTTGCAGAAGTAATGGCGCAGCAGAGAACTGAGGAGTTGGCGGATAACCGAAGTCCAGGGAGAACAGGGAAGGATAAGCGAACAAGAGCAGTCCAGGGAAGAAGGAGAGCAGTGATTGTGTGGGGGTGGGTTGGGTGGAAGGGAAAGGGAGTGGGAGAAAGAGAGAGGGAGGGGGAGGGGGAGGGGGGTAGGAGGGGGAGGGGGAGGAGGAGAGGGAGAGAGAGAAGGGGGAGAGGTAGGGGAAGGGGAGGGACAAAGGGAATTCATAGCGGCGGGAGAGATCGGTAGGAGGAGAAGCGACCAACGGGGCAGGGGCAGGGGAAATGGAAGGAATAGAGGAGGATGGAGATGGCACGACCGTCGCGTGCGGAAATGCGGAGAAGGGGGAAGGGGGAGGGAAAGTGGAGAGTCGGGATTCGTAGCCGTAGGGGAGTTAGAGCGTGCGCATGCTTCAGACGTGCTACCGCAAGAGGTCTGATGCTGAGAGGCATGGCAGTATAAGTAGGAGTCTGAAACCAAGAAAAAATCCTTGTTGGCCCACGATTGGTACCGGTCGTAGCGGCAGTGATAATACCTCAGTCCTTGAAAAAAACAAAAAATTTCCCAGTGTGAATCCACCGGCCTATTCAAACCGCCAAAGGGTTTTTTTTTTCTCATAGCCCACAACTTACTTGAGGCCTCAGCAATGGTCCCTCAGTCCCAAACGGATTATCCGGATCTGGCCTACTGTTCGTACTTGGAGGAAATAATCTTCATATGCCTGCAGCAATAGTCCCTCAGTACTACGTAAAGAACATGTTTTCCTTGTATATATTCACCCCAGTTATCTGAAGAATCGTTGCCAACCTGTGAAGCAATATACCCTGTTTTTCCAGCAATATGCAAATGTTGCAGAAAATCCAGTGAGTGATCCATCGAAGAAACGATCTGGGTACCCACGTATCCTGAGCTCTTTCTTGAGTGTGATAAGAAAAATAATTTCAGTCAGAAGGAGTGATGCGAACGATCTTGCTCTGTGGAGGAAGGAGGTGATGACTGCTAGCTTCTGCTGTTTGCTCGAGAAGGAGAAGATGTCTTGTATAGCTTGGAACGCGATTTCACCATTTTGAGACAGAATAGCTTGGTTGCGGTGAGTAGGGATGCAACCGACTCCAATGGGAAAAGGAAATATTTGTAGTTGGCAGCCCAAAAAATCCCAACAGCCTTTTGTATCTGTTTTTTCCAGTGTGAGGTTACTATCATAGCTAGATTCAAACATTTGAATGATACGTTCGGCTTTCCGTTGGGAAGAAGCACATCCTATATTATACTTGACAAAAATCGAAACATCGTCTACTAAGCGAACACCCTGAATCAATTGGCGATCCTTCCCCAACGAAGATAAGAAATGGAACTCATTGTACATGCAAAGCATTGCCGCCAACGCAGGGCTGGAGGACTTACCCATAGGGACACCTACATTTTGTTTGAGCAAATGCCCCATAACCGAAACATAGGTGTTATCTAAGTCATAATCAACAAAGTCTTCTATTAATGCAAAGTTTCGTAGTTTCCAATCTAACAGGCTTCTACTCGAGGATAGCTTTGCCCCTTTCCCTCGTTTCTTTACCCATACCCCGTCGTAGCCTTGGAAATGATAGAAGTGTGAAAACCATCGTACGACCTCTCGGATGGAAGCATGTGGGAGTTTACAGAACATTTCCTTGACGTCGTGTCCTCCGGTGATGAAAGTTTCAGAACAGGAAATCGATTTGTTGATAAGACTCAGAGCCGGAAGTAGTTCCTTCGTACTAAACAAATTGAAATGCAACCGATGGGGAAGATTTTTGACCAGTTCATTAAGGCAGGCGGTAACCCTTTTGCAGGCAAGAAGTGAAGGTTCTGAGGACGTAGGGCAGATGGGTCGCCACTTTTGAGTGTTTTTGTGCTTCGGTAATGCATATCCTCTCCCTATACTACCTTTGGCATTCCATGACCCAATAACATCAAACCCACAATCGTGATATTTCTTGCGTAGCAGTTCGATGATCGTACGTTCATCGCTGTCTATGACTACCTTAAACCCTTGGTTTCGCAGAAAGAGGGAATCGAGACCTGCCTTATAGATTATAGGGCAACAAAATAGTGTATCTCCGGGGTTATTATCTATTGTGGATAGGACCAGGCCGTCAGTCAGCTTTTTCCATGTGGAGATGCTTTCAGGTGTGAAAGGAAGGTTCTGGAGAAAAACGAAAGGTGGAGGCAGTTGTGACGAAGTGTGAGGAGAAAAAGGTTCGGTAGACAATAAGGAAAAGGGAGTGGAGGAAGCTTGAAACAATCATCCAACAACGGATTTTGGATGGAAAAGGTGTGCGGGGTGGAGGAGAGATTGAGAATCTGTTCCGAAGTCTTGAGTATCTGGGTCCAAAGGTAAGTTGAACCATAGCGTAGAGAGGGGGGTGGGATATTCCGAGAATTACGAAGCCATTCAGGTATGATACAAGAGTCCATGGCACGAAAAGCGATATGTCCTTCAGTTGTTGGTAAGAGGGATTGTGGGGGGTCGGTTTGGATGTAACACGGGGAGGGAGAGGGGGAGGGATAAGAGGAGAGAGGGAGAAAGGGACAGCGAGAATGGAAGGGGGAGGAAGAGGAGGGGGAGGGGGAGGGGGAAGGGGAGGTGGAGGGGAAGAGGGAGGGGGATGATACGGAATGCTCAGGAGAAGGTGAGGAAGAAGGTCCGTCCAACGCTGCATACACTTCAGCCTCATCAGTGACCTTTGACATAATTCTCAATCTATGCATTAGCTTATCGCAGCAGCAATTTAGTTGCTCTTGTCTGGAGTGGAAACGAAAGTTGTGCAAAAGACGAGCTACACTATTGTTTTTGGTCCACACAATCCGCATTCTTCTTGATAGCATGCTTGCCAAGGAGGTAGGTAACATTGCTTCCCGGATCAGCCGCGAGCACAACAACCGAACCTTAAACTTGGATAGCCTATAAGAATACTTTAGTCTAAAGACTAGTCGCTTTCTAGGAGAAAAATCGAATTTACGTCGGATGACATTAGACAATAGAGATCTCAGAGTTTGTTTTGTAGTTTTCTTAGAAAAGCATCTGGCAGAGTTATACTCAAGAATCAGATTGTCCAAAGGCCACTTATATAATTCATTCCTTTCGTTCGGGTGACTCAGCAAACGAGAAATCGATGCTTTCAAAGATTCCGCACGGGAGCAGAATTTGGCAATCGTTACAAATCTAAGAACAACTCTACTCTAAAGCCAAGGTTTGCAGTGTTTTAACTGGTTGCGGCCAAATCTGCTGACTACTACAGAAGCACCGTAAACCCGTTTAATTACCTTCCAAGAATCTGGTAAAATGCATCCTCCATTCCCAATCACCGAAACAGTCTTAATTCCAGACTTGGTACATTCATTCAGAATAGTCATTAAGGAGATAGACGCCAGTCCACATCACGAGACAAAATATGTCAGCCTCTTATCATTCGGTCGGTTTTCTACGAATCCAAATTGGCCGCTTTCAGTTGGACCGCGAGAGTTTTTGTTCCTAGCTGCTTTGTTACGCTCACGTTTACCGGGTCTGGCCTTCCTATGCCTTCTCGAACTACAACCATCAGGACGAGAGTTTAAGTAAGGTGAAGCCGACCGTATCAGTCTATTTTCCGCATTTAACAGATCTGATGCTTGAAAAACAGCAATAGGAATCGCTATGTAGTGGTGCATCCCCGCCCTCCTTAACCATCTATAAAGCTTGTGGTTTCTGGGAAGACTGTTAGGAGAATCGAAGGAAGACATGCGGTAAACGTGTTCAGCCCATCTACGGTCTAGTGATCTGGTTGTGCTACCGATGTAGTATTGCTTCATAAATGGGGAAACTAAACAGTATACAAGTGGTCCAGGAGAACTTTGGAAGTCATAGGGGGAATGAAGAAGGTGTAGCAAACAGTCAGAGAATTTGAGACATCATGGCAGCTGTCGAAGGAGAATTAAAGCAACCGTAATCATTCGGAACAGATAATTGAGATGGGGGTTAAGAAGGTCATTCCTAGATTTACGAAGCGGTAGACAGATGCGCAGCAGCTTCCACAGTCGTTGCACGCTCGGGCATGATCCCTATTCGTTCGCTAACGGCTCATCGTCATCTACTTCAACAGGCTGCGTACCTTGTACACCGGCATCCTCTTGCTCTTCTTCCCTTGTGTCCTTTGCTTCAGAGTCTGGTATAGGGCAATCCGACTTTGGTGGTGGACGAAGATCAAATGCCAGCGAAGCCCGTAGCTCTGCAATCTCATTGATAGCTTGCTCGCAAGTTACGAAGGTGATGCCTTCTTTGCCGCAGAGGATCTGGAGTCCATGCTTCTTCAAGCGCTTGAGGTATTTCTTCGTTTCCTTGAGAAATTCCGCCCTTTCAAGTACCGCGGTCTTGGAAGCTAGCCGCCCAGAAGTTCTCTTAGGAGGAGAAGGCCTGAGAGTGAGATCGTCAAACCCTCCCTCGTGCTGACCGTTAAGATCGTGCTCGTCGTCATCAGTAGCCTTATTCATCCGCTTGGTTAGGTTAGATCGAGGAGTTCGACCCTGTCTCACTAGCTTAGACACAACACGTTCAAATCTCTGCCTTAGCGCTTGGACCTCAATATCTGCGATGAGTTTCCCCTCCTTCACGTTGTTGTAGGCTTTCAGCAGCTTCTGGAAACCGTCTGACGTTGGAGTGCCGACACCCACTACACGAGCTTTGCCTCTGGCCGGTGCTTCTGGAGGGCTACTGATGCACACCCCAACACCCGTTCTCTTCATGGCATTCCCCGTTTGTTTCAGCGCGCGCGTCAGCTCCTCCATATGCTTCTTGATAGCCTCGTGTTCGTACCGCAAGACTCTGATCTGTTTCTCCAATCGCTCCTTCTCGGCTTCAGTATTTTGCCGCAGTCTCAAACTGTCGGTGCGTCGCTGGTTCTCGGAAGGAACAACAGCAGTCCTTGGCGGATCGGCCTTGCTCAGAAATAGTTGACAGGCATCATGTATCTTCGACCCCATAATAGAACCAATTATGTCCTCGAATTCTTGTCGCTCCTTCAGTTTTCTCATGGCCTTTTCCTCCGCTTGCTTGGCTCTCTTCTTCTCTTTGTCCTCCTTCAGCAACCTCTCCTTCTCTCGAATCGCCTCCTGTCTGGCCTCAAGCTCTGAAGCCATGAATTCGTAGACACGATCCAGCTTCTCCTGATTTGTCTTCCACCACGATTGGCGTGCCACCATCATCTGACCAGGATTCTGCGTGGGACTGGGGATGAGAGACTGGTTTGGGGGTGGTGGCAAAGCAAGGAGGGGAGCCTGCGAAGAAATCGGCTGAGCAGCGCCGGTGGGAGGAGAAGGCAGATGCGGAAAGGCAGGAGGCCGAGAAGATTGCGAAAATGAGGGTTGGCGGTAAGGGCAGTCACGCGCGAAGTGCTCTGGCATGTTACAGTTGAAACAAAGCCTGGGTGACGACATCTTGGGAGGGGGGAGGGGGAAGAAAGGAGAGCGAAAGAGTCCAAGCAGGGTACCTGCGAAACTTCACAGCAGAAAGGAGACCAAACGATAGAACAATCAATTGCTCAGCAAATATGCCTATTACGCAACAGGAAAGAAAAAAATAAATACTAGTAGGCAGGGGATGCGCACCGCCAAGTGGAAGGGAAAAGAAGCCAGTGACTCAGAAATGAAGGATCGTAGCGTTACAGGAACGAGGTGAAGTGTATAGACGAAAGAAGTAAAGTGAGAGAGAAAAAACAAGATGATAAAGAAGAACAGAGAGATAGAAACGGAGAGATACTAAAGGAACGGGGAGATAAAGGAACCAGGGAGGTACAAAGAATCGGGGAGATAAAAGGAACGAAATAGGATGGGCCGAACGCCCTGCAACCACACTACAGTAGTACAACTGCTACTAAGGTTATTGCATGAGCTGTAGGTATGACTAGAGTATGCAATGGGGTTGCGAACTGAAATCATGGATAAATATTGGAACATGGGCGAGAAGGGAAGGGAAGTGGAGAAACGAGCTAACAAGGGGGATAGCGCCTAGGCTGTCTATGGCGCCTATTCTCATCCTCACGTCTAGATTTGGCAATAGCATAACGCAGGGTACCATAGGATACTTCGGCAAAGATTCTCAAGACGCGCAACCAAAAAATAACCATGTCAAGAACCCATAAAAGCAGATTAAGCCATTCCATTGTGCAAGACAATGAGGTTACAGAAACAAAGAGAAAGGAGAAGAAAGGAAGGAAGAAGGAAGAGAAGGAGAGAGGAGGGGAAAGTAGAGGAAGGTGAGGGGAAGGATCGACAAACGAGGAAGGGAAAGACGGATAGAGAGGAAGAAGAAAAAAGAAAGAAGAGGGAATCAAGCAAGCGCAAAGGGAGTGAGAAAGGGAGAGGTAGGAGACATGGAATGAACGCAGCGAGTAATCTTGAAGCCCGAGCGAGTAAACTTAAAAATCATCGTGAAAAACACTCAGAGGCTGTCCTCAAGCCATTTGGGCACTACGGGCGCAAGTTGAGCATTTGACCAGATCTTTTTTGAGGGCTGTTGTTGGACGCGATTTGAACTGGAGAGCTCTGGGATAGTTAATCTTTTGGAACTTAGGCCGCCTCAACCCCCCGGTCCCTCTTTGGCTGACCGGTTTGTTTCTGAGGATGATGTTCTTCCCTTTTGTGGGTACTCTGAGGAAACAAATTCTGTCGTCTTTCTCGGTTAACTTATCTCTTCCATGTGTCGGTTGTAAGGTCGTCAGGGTGGTTTGGTCCGTTCACTTTTGTTTCGTGAATACTGGATCTGATATGTCCCCGAGGTTGTGTAGTATGTGGAGCCTTTCACTGAGGATTGTTGTATTTTCCAATTTTACTTCTTAGAAAATACGGACAAAGATTTAAGTAGCATTTGGTTATTCATTGTTTTTTGGGAAATAGGGGGAAAAAAACTTTCAGCAGCATTTGACTCTCCTTTTTGGCCTTTGTTTTGAGTTTTTAAGTCGCAAAAACCGTGTCACACCGTTGCTTTGCGTTGAGCTAGTTCAAAGGTGCATGTGGGATTTGGCCCCAGGTCTTGCTGCAGGATGTTCTCGTAAGCTCAGCTTTTTTTTTTTTTTTTTTTTTTTAACAAAAAAAGCCACCGGTGATAGTGGCGCTGATAAGAGCAGACACCACTACCACTCGGGGAGAGGCTCCATCTATTGGTGGGGAGCATCACCTGCTGGAAAATGGGTCCAGCGTCCCATATACAGACTGTAATCAGATCAGCTTGGTATTGCTTGCACACTATTACGCCCTGGGTAGACTTTGAGGACCCTGTCTCTTTTTCCCTTCTTCTTCGTCTTCTTTTTTTTTATATTTTTTTTATAACAAGAAACAGTAGTTTTATTAGGGCCCAGTGCCCAAGGCAAAAATACAATGTCAAAGAACTGCAGATTCAGGGGCCGCAAGGTCTCCAATTCGTAGGGTGGAGCCCCTCCCCTGTAGAAAACCACTGTCTTCCAAAAGAGAAAGCACTACTAAATGCAACGAAAATCCAACTTGGGGTTTCAACTAGTGGTGCAAGTTGCATAGAAAATTGCGACAACAGAAATGCCTTTTTTTTTTCCTTTTTTTTTTTTTTTGAGAAAATGCCCCCACCAGTGTTCGTGGTGCTGATAAGAGCAGACACCACTAGCACCTGGAGAGCGGCTCCATCTATTAGTGGGGAGCATCACCTGCTGGAAAACGGGTCCAGCGTCCCATAGAAAGACTGAATTTGGAGCATTTCAGAAAGCGATTGCAGGAGGTTCCTGCCAGCATTGATTACCCCGGGATCCAGGGGATTGACTGAGCAGGATAATGGAGAGAGGGGGGAGCCTCTTCACCCTGAATCCGGCGCCAGATGCCTGATGCTACATACTAGTTCTTCCCTCCCCCAACCCTTGTAAACTGAGCGGGAGCGTCACCTGCTGGAAAACGTGTCCAACGTCCCTGATACAGAATACACTCCATAGCGTAATGAAATATGCTTCGATCAGGGCTGAGTGGGGTGTGTGGGGCTCAGCTTAGCCCTGATACCTACAAGCATGGTTCGGTCAGGTCACCCCCAAGGCTGGGGGTGACGATCCTGAGTGGTAGACACTGAGGTAGGATAGTGGGAGTAGGAGTGCACCGGGAGAAATTACGAGAGAGGTAGGTTGGGAGGGAGTCCAATAGGATTAGGGGGCCTCTACCATATGGCCAAGTGCCAAAAGGTGACTCTCATATGTCTGTAATCCAGCCTCTACAACAACCTGGGCTTAGAAAAAAAATAAATAAATAAATAAAAAAATGACCCCTTGGTCCTCAACCTACCCTCCCTACCAATGGGGAAAGTACAGCATATTGAAAAAGCGTGCCAGCAAACATATTGAAAAAGCCTGCCAGCATTAAATGACCCTTTGGATAGTCTTTTGTCTGAGAAGCCAAACTTGAGGTCCACCCTGTCCCCTGCTGATTCCGCCGCTGAGGGCCTATTCATGCTACCTTTATTCGCCTGTGAACCAGTGGGCTTCAACCAAAGAGTGTGCAGGTGGCAGGAAGAGATTGGGAAAATCAGTAAGGGGTCGCAACAGGATGGCCGGATCAATCCTGGTCCAATCGTGGAACTGAAGGCAGTAATCCCTTTTAAACCACCAATACTTGGCCCAGCTATTGGCCGCGGAAAAAAATAGAGTAGAAAGGTTTCTAGTTGGATGAATTTGGGCGCTCCTGTAGTGGCCCATATGTTTCCTAAAATTGCGTAGCGTTAACGCTACGCGACTTTAGGAAGTACTGGTGGTTTAAGTTGTCCTTGATCCCCTCCCCCTGCTCCCTCCCCCCTTTTCCATTTCACTTCCGTAATCCAGCCTCCTTGTTCTCCCCCCAGCCAGTCCTTGCCAAAAAGTTGAATTTGCCTTACAATTTCTGTTTTTGAATGCAAAAAATCCACTTTTCCTTTTACTCTTTCTCATTGAATAGTACGGTCCGCTTGAATCTGCTGTTTGATTGGTTCTATAACTGTTTGCCCTTCGAGGCGGACTCCTTCCAGTTGACAGGTAATTAAGGTTTCTAGTAATTCCTAGGTCCCACTACCAAGCCTAACCCTAATGAACCCGAAATCCCTAGAAAACATGTAGGCCGGTTTTCATTTTTGCCTAAAACGGCAAAAGGGCTATGGCCTTGAAATATCATCATTTGAACTGGCCGAACCTAGGTAATTCACAATTGCAGTATTTTTACTCATCTGCTTGGAGTTTTGACCTCAGGTCTGCATTTTCAACAGTTCAGTGGTGTGACAACTGAGCTAGGCTAGCTGGTAATCTCATGTCATAAAGGTTGGTGGAGTTATTTTACAGCAAAGCAACAGAATACCAATGGGCAAATCATCCAGCCCGGCTCTAGTTTGTGTACTCTGTGCTTTTTACGAATTTCTGTTTCTATCCTCCCTTAAACCACCGGTCCCCCCCGCCGGCCGAAAATAGGCATTCCGGTGAGTTCGGACCGAAAACCGGGGGAGGTCGCCGACCGTTGGGTACCGGGCTGCATCGCCACAAAGTACTGCCCACAACAAAGTACCGCAAGGGCTGGACGAAAGTCGGCCGCAGTGTGTGGTGGGCCGGTAACGTGAAACGGCGCTGCTCATTTCGGATGAAGGTGGCGGCGCTGTTTGGTCGTGCAGTGAAACCTCGAAAGGAAAAAAAAAAAAAAAAAAAATCTTCTTCGAACGAGCGGGTTGAAAGATATATCCCCGCCGCGGGCCGCCAGTCTCTTCCTTCGATGTTGGAGGACAACTGGGTTCGTCACTGCTACCGTGCGCTCCTGCCGAACCTTGCAGCGTTTGCAGGGGTTGCCATCGCCCTGGCATCTACTTCGACGGCTCTCTCTCTCTCTCTCTCTCTCTCTCTCTCTCTCTCTCTCTCTCTCTCTCTCTCTCTCTCTCTCTCTCTCTCTCTCTCAGCCCTAGCTTAACAAGTGGTCCCAAAAGACACACCACGTGTAAGGCTTTGCCAGAACAACTTTCCTGAGAAAATACTGGAGGTTTAATTGTGCAGAGGCCATGTTAATCTTCTCTTCGTCGTTCCAATTTTTATTTTTTTTAAACAGGTTGCATTATATTATCATGATAGCAAAAGGAGGTCAGGAATCCCTGCACATCTCAACCCGAAAAACTCGTGCCTCTCTCTGTAATGGTCCTTGCTGAAAACCGGGTCCAGCGTCCCCTGACCATGCAACCATAAAGCAAAACAAAGTTCGACTGGAGGAGGAATAGACTAGAAATCCTTCAAGGGCGGAAAGAGCCCACTCGGGAGAAGCCAGCACGAAACGGTACTTGAAAAGTCGAAACAAGGGCATGAGAAGGAAATAGGAGGACGGCCCCTGTACGAATAGACTGGCACGGTGAGGTGGCAGATCGTGCGACGAGATTTTGGATTTCTTTTTTCTTTTCTTTCTTTTTTTCTTTTTTCTTTTTTCTTTTTTCGATATCTGCTTTTACTTTCCTTGAGGCGCCGCCGCGTTTTTCCCAACAATAACTCGTAGGGAAGCAGCGGGTTTCTCGAAAGCGGACGAAGTATGAGCAGATATATTGGAATACTGGGAGTAGTTGCTCCTCTTGGCCTGAGCAGCAGGACAGAAGGGTCGAGCGCCGGTGGTGGTTTCATCGGCGATGTTCAAGGATTCTTTGCTGTGAGAAGTAAAGTCCATGAGTTCCTGATTGGTGTATTTGAATTGCATTGGAGCCAGTTGATCGACCTTGCAGTGCAGCGTGGGCACGATCAAGTGGTGCCATCAGTGTTATGACTGATGTGCGTTTCATTTTTATTTTCATGTATATTTGGTTATCTTCTTTGGATTATAGTTTCGTCGCCTAGACCGTCCACGGTAAGTGCCAAGTCTCCTTCCGGTTATGGACGTATCCCTCTCCTTTCTTCACGTACTTCGTGACGACATACGAGCCTATCATGCGAGGTGCTCTTCAGTGGTAACGAAGGGAAGTCCATGAGAACTGTAAGCTGGGGGAGGTATTCGGGCTGGGAATGACCGATTCTAGCACGAAGCATGAATGGGAGGGGAAGGAAGCGCCGTGAATTGAGGGATTTCTGCCACTTAGCGTGGCGCACGCGGCGAGAGATGTGATTTAAGCGAAGGAGGCGCTAAGGCCGAACGGGGGTGTATAGCAGTCTGTAGCGGGGGAAAGGAGGACTCACCTCCGCGATATGCGGAAGGACGCAGGGTTCTACACCCGTGTGGGAAGTATTGATGAGCGGGTCGTAGTACCTTGACGAAGGAGCAGTAACAGCAGGAGAAGAGGTTAAGCTGAAAGGGCCGCCTCTGATGGCAAATTGAGGAGGGGGCATCTGTGAGGGTAGTGCGTATTTAAGTATCTGTGACACAGGGGGATGATGCAGTGAAAAAGTTGGGGTACTGTATCGGCGAGTCAATACTTGGACTGTATAGGCTGTGAAGTGCGGACTCTTCAAGCACAGCGGCGTCATACCAGGCTCCAAAGTAGGTGGTTGGGGCACGTAAGTATCTACGACCAAGTGCGGTGCTGAGTAAAAAGAAGCACGGCTGATGCGCCAAATTCCACATACTAACGAATGTGGGGATTACTTGTTTTGTGGTTGTGATTATTCAGTACTAACAATTGTGTGCAGGAAGTCGATTCGGGTGCTTATAATCTGGTAACGAATTTGATCCGTGACTAGCGTTTCATGCGAGCGGAAGGGAAAGGGCGTGGGAGGGGAAGGTGGTCCAACTGTGGTAGGTACTTGATGGAGAATACTACTCCGCCACCCCCGCAAGGACAGCAAACTCCACCCACGTACGAGCAACCTCTACCTGCTTACCTGCAGCTGATGGGGGGAATTTACCATCCATCACTGTTGGCACCGTACGGGCTTACCCCGGTTCAGCAGCAGTTCGCACCAGCAATTCATCAAGCACCGACATTCTACCCAGGACAGGCATCGACTTCTGCTAATGGGCAGTATAATCAAGGGTTTGGACGTGGAATCGGGGGGAACTACCAACCGAGAGCTTTCTTTACAAGGGAGCATGCAGACTTTATTGACAAGCTGAAAATCAAGGATGCCATCGAGGAGGCGCGAAAGAGAGACATAGAAGAGATAGCAAGGTTAAAATATCTGAGCCGCGAGTCTATTAGACAGAAGGAGAAGAGTAGGAAGGATGGGAGTATGAAGAAGCAGGGTGGTAAAGACAAAGGGAAAGGTAAAGAGGTCGAAGAAAGGAAGGTTGATGATATGAAAAGATGGGTGGCAGAGAACTTTGAGAATTCTTTGAAAATACTGACAGAAAAGTTGGAAGTGGTTGAAAAAAAGTCAAAACTAGGGGAAAGTGAGGTGGAGGAACTAAAGAGATTGAGAGCTGAGAAAAAACTAAGAGAGCTGAGGGAAAGCTCGAGCAATGAAAAAAGGAAGAGGGACATGGCACCGCCAGGGCGGCCGCGAGTCGGTAAGGTTAGATCTTGGTCAGGGTTACTAAGGAAAGGTGGAAAGAAGAAGACACATGTGGAAGTGTCATCTGATGATGGTGAAAAAGATGCTGTAGTCCAGAAAATAAAAGGGAAATTAGAGGAATCAGGGGGGAACCTCGAGAAGGTGCTGGTGTTAAAAGATCTCATTGAGGAATTATTAGCAGCAAAGAGTGCTGCAGGGAGCTCATCGGGTGGGATTGGAATGGGCATGAAAGGGAGTGAGAAACAGGGAGAACCGGAAAAGGGGAAAAGGCTAAGGATGTGGCAAAGAAGAATGAGGAACCTGATCTGGCAACGGGAAAGGAAACCGGGAAGGAGGATCTTGCCCCTGGCCTGTATTTCAGAGACAGGGTTGTCTATTACTACGCTATGCATTACACTGAGATTCAATCTCTATGCAAGAAGAAGGGCATCCCGTACAAAAAGAAAGATGGGGGTGTATGGGAATTAGCGAGACTAGACTTTGAGGTGTTGCAGAAGTTAGAGGAGCAGAAGGAAGAGAGCAACACGACTGACAACGAGACGAGTGAGGACAGCAGCGAGCATGAGAGCAGCTCGGAGTCAGAGAAAGACTATGGACAGGACGACATCGCAGGGATTTGAACGTGCCTTAGTAAAATAACCCTCTTGAGGGCCTGCAGAAGGATCATAGATATATCAAGCAAGTATGGTCGTGTGCTAGAAAAGAAAGTCAATGTGGTGTTGAAATTGTTAGTCCTAATCCTATGTTTAAGGGATTTTATAAGATGGGGAAAGGTGTACGTCAAATATTGGGTAAATATGACACATGAGTAAAGAAGTAAATTACTGCAGGCTAGGAGTTGTTTACATCTATTGATCTCTCCCTTTTTTAAGCTTACGTATGTGGGAAAGACAGAGAGGGCTCTCGAAACAAGGTGGTTGGAGCACCAGCGAAGTATTTTTTCCAAGCAAAAGCAGAAATTGCACCGCTGGCTGGAAAAAGCAGGTGCTCGTAACTACGTTGCTCTACCCATTTTATACGGAGATGATAAATCTCTCGGAAGAATGGAGGAATGTACCATTGGTTATACTAATCCAGGCCTGAACATGAGAAGAGCAACAAGAAAGTTAAGTAGGAGAAGTCCAAGAAGACAGGCTAAGAAAGCAGGACAAAGGGAAGAAGTGAGGGTGCCATTGGTATTTAACTGTAAAGAACTTGGTGTGGTTAATAAACCGAGCCTCCTAAAAGTACTTAAGAAGGTTAGGGATATGAAGTAGTGTAAGATAAGCAACGCTAAAAGTGACTTGTGGTTGTATGCATGGAGGTTGGTCAAGTTACTCTATGAGGACAGTTGTGTTGAATTTAAGGGGAAGGGAATGAAATTGAGGGACGTTAAGCAGTCTATTCAAGCATGGGGTGAATGGACGCTGACTGAAATTATGAAAACCAAAAGCAAGATAGACGAAGCAAAAACTGAAGCTATCTTTATTTTAAAAGCGCCATGGAAGAGAAAGTTATTGTACAAGAAAAGCTTGAATGAATCACTGTTTATAAATACTGGCATAAAACAGCTGAACACAGCAAGGGGGAGACAGATAACAAGAGAGATTATTACTCAGGTCACAAAGAAAATATATGGAATTAACCCAAGGTGTAGGATTTCTGTGAAATTGCCCTTTTCTGAATATGTGAGCAAAGGTAAGGTACATGAGGCTGTAAAAAGTTGGTTGAAGGATCGAATTTTTCCTAAGGCTCTATCTGACTTGTTGGTTGGCAGAATGAGAACGGTCTGGCAAAAAAGGAAGTCCGTTGGCAGGATCCTGCATAACCATCAGCGCTTCGTAAGGAGACGTGGTCATCCTGTACTTGTGAAGCATTTGACTTGTCCCGAACACAAGGGCATGTTCTAGTAAGGTTAGATGTCATTGGTGGGATTCGGGACTTTGTCCTTAACGCAAAAAACATTCCCCATCCTTGAACTTTGATAACAAGACAGGAAGTGAACCGGGCATGTAATATGGTCATTGAACCATTGAAAAGGATGGGTTGCTTGGATCAGAAGGAAAGCATTCACATACAGCAAGGGGACTACTGCACAAGACAAGCACAAGTATCTGCGGGATGCTGCACATAATATGTACTTGGGCTGAAACAGGCATTTGATGGCTTGGTTCTTTCTCCTCTGGATCAGAATCCTGGTGCCACTCTTGTGGAATGTCCGGTGTTGTATGAAAAATGAATGAGTATGATGTACAATGAGAGCTCGAGCTATGAAAAGATCGACAATGATGAGAGGGAAGTTCTAAAAAAGACAAAGAAACGATTTTGTTCAATGAAACTTTGTAGAATTGCAAGCTGGGATCAGAAAGGGAGGCTGCAACATGCCTACTTTCTTTCGAAGGACAAGGACCTTCGGAAGAAGAGGCCTATCGTACCTTCGTTCCTGAGCCCAACTTCATGCGCAATGAGTCTTTTGTCCAAGAGTTTGAACTTTCTCATAAAGACACTCAGTGTGAGACACTTTAACCTCTCGAGGCCGAAACAATTAAAAGATGAAATCGAGAAAGTGAACAAGAAGGTAAATGAAAAATCGGGAATGGATGGGAGATTGCTTGCTAGAACCTATGATGTGAAGGAAATATTTACAAAACTACCGCACGACGAAATCATGACAGCAGTGACGTGGATAATTGAAGTATTTCGAGACAGAGGGCATGGTTGGATTAGGGTAAAAACGAGAGGCAGAAAGCAACCTTCGGCAAATCGCATGGGGAGTCTAGGTGGAAGTCAATTAGAATGAATGACCTTACTACGCTGACAACCTTTCAACTTCAACACACCTTTTTCTACTCCATGACTCAGATTCCCAGGCAGAGGATAGGGATTCCAATGTGAGGAAGAGCAAGTCCCCCTCTGGCCAATGTGATGTGCATCTTTGCAGAGCAGCAGTTCATTTCGACACTTGATAGTGATTCCAAGTATATAGAAGGAAAGATATTCATTGATGATTTGTTGCTTGTGGGTTGGTATGATAGCCAGGAGAAAGATGGGGAAAGCAGGATGAATGGTGTACTTGATAAAGTAATGGAATGTTACCACAAAGATCTCACGCTTGAGCGGCTTGAGCGGACGGATGGTGGAAACGGGATTCTTGAATTTCTTGAGACGAGACAGCGCCCACAAGTTCAAGAATATTGGAACTATCTGGGATGGAGAGAAGGGTCGTTATAAAACCATGAGGGATTTTGAATCGTATGCACCCAAGATTCAGAAATTTGCTACGGTCTTCAACACTCTCTGCAGGATTTGGGACAACTCCAATACCAAGCTTACATTATGGTTAAGTCTTGTCACATTTATGAAGGAAGCTAGTCTTGTCACATTTATGAAGGAAGCTGGACTTCTTGGGTATCCAAAAGAAACTTTTTTGACTGGCTTGAGAAAGATGGCCAGAATGCGGAAATCAGAGTTCGAGATTGACATGATCCGAAAGTTTATACATTGGATTGAGTAGGAGTGAACGGAAGGGGGTGGGAGGGATGGAAGGGCTGGGGTGCTAAAGAGAAGGGGGGGGGGGAAGGGCGGATGAGAAAAATAGGGGGCGAAAAGAGCCCACTCGGGAGAAGCCAGCATGAAACGGTACTTGAAAAGTCGAAACAGGGACGTGAGAAGGAAATAGGAGGACGCCCCCTGCCGGAATAGACTGGCACGGTGAGGTGGCAGATCTTGCGACGAGATTTCGGATTTCTTTTTTCTTTTTCTTTCTTTTTTTCTTTTTTCTTTTTTCTTTTTTCTTTTTTCGATATCTGCTTTTACTTTCCTTGAGGTGCCGCCGCGTTTTTTCCAACAGTAACTCGTAGGGAAGCAGCGGGTTTCTCGAAAGCGGACGAAGTATGAGCAGATATATTGGAATATTGGGAGTAGTTGCTCCTCTTGGCCTGGGCAGCAGGACAGAAGGGTCGAGCGCCGGTGGTGGTTTCATCGGCGATGCTCAGGGATTCTTTGCTGTGAGAAGTAAAGTCCATGAGTTCCTGATTGGTGTATTTGAATTGAATTGAAATCCTTCAAAAGGGACTTGCAGCTCATGTTCCGGAACTGGTTCCAGCTTCAACCAGGAGCGTTGCTCAGATCTCCAGTTTTTTTCTCAGAACCATTTCCCCCTTCTGAATTAGCTCTAGTTGAATTACAGTGGTATGGCAGAGGGGGAATTTAAATATTGGAAGGAAAGATGCTTGTATGTTATTTCCAGATCTGGCGGTCCTGATGGACTGAAGAGGTGTTTTCTCTTCATTTTGATGGTACACTTATCTTTTAAAAAAAATCATATGTAATTAAGGGACGCTGGACCCGATTTCCAGCAGGTGCAACTCCCCACCAATAGATGGAGTGACCAAGCAGACCTAGTAGGAGGGGATGCTCTTATCACCCACCCTATTAGATCATGCAGGGTAAGAACAAAAAAAAAAAAAGAAGACTACAAAATTTTGCCTACCACAGCAACAGTTCTACAGAAACTTACTCTCTACAGGCTATCCACTGATCCGCGCTCTTTAGCGCATCAGGCTAACCTACCTGTTGCCAACCATGGACTCAAAACCAGTTTCCCTTCTGGGGAAGTTGTCGCCAGCAGATTGTCTCTGGCCCAAGTCTTCTGGAACCAAATAAGGCTTAGGCCTTTCCGTTGCCAGTCTGCAATCACAATCGATCTGATCTGAGTGACGATCAGAATCTTGAGCTTGGAAAAGTGGAGGCTTTCTTTCCTAAACAGCTTCTGATTACGCGTGTACCATAAGCCACCAGTACTCGGCCCAGCTACCGAAGCCGAGCCTTCCAGCCCCCTGCGCACCAAGTCCTGCCGAACCGCCGTCGGTCTTTTTCGTTTTCATTTTGGCAGTGGCCTCCAGCCAATGCGGTCCGGTAGGTGGAAGCCCGAATGCCGCGGCCGATAGCTGGGCCAAGTACTGGTGGTATAAGATGGTCATGATTACTCCTCTGCATACCTGGGCTATGTATCCCCATCCAAACCCCATGGGGATAGGTGGGATACTGCAACCTGAATTAATCCAGGCGTCTGTCCATGGATGAGGGAACTTCCTAACTTTGTCAAATGTGATCTCCACCAAAGCCAGATCTGAACAGAGTGGGGGCAACCACTCCAGAGATGATCAGTAGACTCAATGGCCCCGTCACAACAACTGCAGGTTAATGGCAGGGGCATCCCTTTAGAAGACAGCCAAGCTGCTGAGGGGATGGCCTGCATGGACTTCAACCATAGAAGGCTGGGTCCGGCAGGTGGCACAGCTGCTCCCATAGCTTCAGGAATTGATCGTTTGACGGGACGTGAGGAATGACCGCCTCTCATCTCTTTTTTGTTTTGACAAGGGGAGGGTTCTTAAGCCTATTCAACTGAATCCTCCTCCCCATTTTGGAGGTGTAATGTTCCAGTGTGAGGAAGGCCCCTGCTTTCTTTTCATCCATCCATCCACAGATAAAAGGGTCAACCTTATATGCGGAAGCCTTCCGGCCGCCTGTACAGGTTTCTTTCCCGGTTGGGCCTGTCGTAACCCACACCTTGACCTCCTCCATGTCTGTGTCCAATTGGACCACTTCTTCGCCCTGGATGTCCCCTAGGACAATCTTTATGTTTTTTCTTTGAAACAACGGACGTGG